CTTTATAGGCACTGCTGAGATGAGCTTTTACATAGAAGCTTTTCTCTAAGAGCAATGGGGATTTTCTGGAGATCACAGTTGCCCAGAATCAAAAAAAATGCTTTGGCCAATATTAAGAAGTGGAGCTGTTTTGTACTTAAGAAGGCAAAATCCTAACCCTTCAGATTTCTCTGCCTCACTTACCTCTTCTGGCAAACCTAGGTCCAGCAGGGGCTGAGTGGGGGCTGAAATCACCCCTGGCTCCACCCTGAGCCCTGGCTGTGTCTGTTTGGGAGGGAGGCATCTTTTTCTAATTCACACAAAGGCCTAGAGGGGTGCCCCTTTCTACTTACACAGACACCTTATGGGCTAACCAGGGGTGACAGTGATGAGGGCCTTCTGGGGATATTGACCAAAATGAAGCCTCTGTTGGGGCATCTGGGTGGCTCAGTCAGTTAAACATCTGACTTGGGCTTAGGTCACGATCTCAAGGTCCTGGGATCGAGTCCTGCCTGGGGCTCCCTGCTTAGCGGGGAGCCTGCTTATCCCTCTGCCTCTGTCCCTCCCCCTGCTCGTGCTTATATGCACATGCTCTCTCTCTCTCAAATAAAGTAAGAATCTTTAAAATAAATAAATAAATAAAAATAAAAGAAGACTCTGCCTCCAGCAAAAAGCTGAGTGGGACTCTAGCAGCCCCTGAGATGGGTTTATAAGGAACTCTCAGGCCCCCTCAGAGCTCTCCCCCTTGTTCCAGTTTCAAGCCTAGTCATTACCAGCTCCCTGCTCAGGCCTGGGGAGCCGCCTACCCCCTGAGATGGGTTTATAAGGAACTCTCAGGCCCCCTCAGAGCTCTCCCCCTTGTTCCAGTTTCAAGCCTAGTCATTACCAGCTCCCTGCTCAGCCCTGGGGAGCCGCCTACCCCAACCCCTTGCCTGCCTCTGTCCCTACCCGTCCCATGGGTTACCTTCCAAGCATGCCTGCATGTGGCCTAGATACTGTTCAGCGGTTCTGAATCAGGCCATAGGCTCAGGTGCAAGAAGTCACACTGCCTTATTTTTGTTAAGTCAACAGCAGTTGGTCTCTGAGCCCTCTTCCTTCTGCCCTGGCAGAAAGTTCGCTCTTGGTGGTTATGATGATGCCCTCTTCCTCCTTGGGGTGACCCGGGGCCCTGGACACAGGCTAGACTTTAGTTGTTTGTGGGCCCTCTTAAAAAATTCAACCCGTAAATTTGAAGTACTGATTGACTTCATTAAACGACTCATGAATCTGGCAGCATTCCATTGACCAAGGAGCTCAGAGGAGGTGTACAAAATGGAAGGTTTTTCTAGGAAGGGGGTTACGGCAAGGAAGTTATTAGCCAAAGAAAAGAAAGGATTATTTCAGGCAAGGTCATTTTCCCTTAGCAGGAAGAGCAGGAGGTCTGATCACGCAGATTACCTCATCTTCCTTTGTTGGGAGGGATAGAGAGGGCCCATGTGACAGATGACCTCATTGGCGCTAACCAGAAAAATCCTGACTGACCGCTTAAGACTACATTTCTGGGGGGCGCCTGGGTGGCTCAGATGGTTAAGCATCTGCCTTCAGCTCAGGTCATGATCCCAGGGTCCTGGGATCAAGCCCCACATTGGGCTTCCTGCTGAGCAGGGAGCCTGCTTCTCCCTCTCCCTCTGCCTGCCTCTCCCCCTGCTTGTACACTCTCTCTCTGTGTGTCAAATAATAAAAAAAAAAAAAAGAAAAAGACTACGTTTCTGGGGGAGGTTAAAACGCAGTTAGGTTGGAAAAGTATGAGCAGGAGGAGGGGCAGGGGGAGAGGGAGAGAGAGATCCTCAAGCAGATTCTGCGCTGAGCCCGTTGCAGGGCTCGATCCCACGACCCTGAGATCATGACCTGAGCCGAAGTCAAGAGTCAGATGCTGAACTGACTGAGCCACCCAGATGCCCCTGTGGTTTTCTTCTTGAAAGCCCGCTGGCTGAACTTGTACGGTTCCAAGGAGCCTGAGGTTCTGCTGCATCTCTGGCCCCGGGGCTTTGCCAGGCCGGGAGCCTTGCTGATTTGTTTGTGTAATGTCCTTCTCTTCTGCTGAACGTAAGCTCTATGGGAGCTGAGGCTTTGTTTTGTTCACCACTGTGTCCCAAGGGCCCGGAAGCTGATAGACACCCAATATTGATTGGACCCAAGTAAATGTCCAAGGACCTCCTGTCTGAAGATCTGCTCCTTCCTGGAAACAGCCTGGACACGTTTGGCACCCAGCAGCCTGTGTCTGCTGTCCTGGCTGGGCCGGTCTCCCCTCTCTGAGAGGTGCTTCTCCTCCCCACACCACTCTCCCGTGTAGGAGGGCAGAGGACAAAAGCCTGGAGGTGGCTGTCTTCAAGAAGCTGTGGCCTTCCCCGTGGCCACATGCTCCCCCAAGGAAAGGGATCTTTGCTACTTGCGTGGAGCAGGGTTTAAAAAAAAAATACAGCAAGGGGGGTGCCTGGGTGTCTCAGTCATTAAGCGTCTGCCTTTGGCTCAGGTCATGATCCCACGGTCCTGGGATCGAGCCCCGCATCCGGCTCCCTGCTCGGCGGGAAGCCTGCTTCTCCCTCTCCCACTCCCCCTGCTTGTGTTCCTTCTCTCGCTTTGTCTCTGTCAAATAAGGAAATAGAAATCTTAAAAAAAAAAAACAGCAAGAATACAAATTAACACCTCAGCCAAGGCCTCAAGCCACCATCTGTTTCATTCTTCCTACTACTACTTACTAATTCCCCAGTGTAGACCCTCATTGCTTTTCACCAGCACTTCTCTGCTTCAGCCTCCTTGCTGGTCTCCCCCCAAATCCACCTCTTAGGAAGAGCCAGTGCAGTCTTCCTAAAAGGTTAATTGGGCTGTGTCTCTCCCCTAGTTAAGACTCTATCGTGGCTCCCCACAACTCTCAGCTTGGCAACCGAGCATGGCCTGGTTCCCCCTGCTTCCCTGGCTCAGGACCCCAAACCCCCAAATCACCCAACACTGCTCCCTCAAATGTTTCAGCATCTCTGTTTTAGCCGATGTTTCTCCTTCTGCCTGGGACACCTTCCGCCCTATTTCCCCCTTCTCCTGGCTACCTGCTGCTTATACATCAAGATCAACCGTACGGTTTATATGCCTTGGGATGCGGTGTCACAGGAGTGACACAAGACCACCAGAGAAGTCTCCTTGCCGACAAAGCAAACCTGAATGACATCAAACCTCTAGGTCTAGCCACCAGTTAACAGGAGATACGCGGGGCAGATGAACACGTGAAATGACCACCACCAAGAAGCAACCAGCCAAATCCTCCTGAATGTGGGAAACGTAATAGGAAAAACAACCAGGTTCCTTTGACAAGAACAAGAGGAAAGTGGGGAGTGAGGGGGGATACAGAGTAAGAGAAACTTAACAGATACATCAGCCAATTGGAATGTGTGGACCTGAAGTAGGAAAGCTGCAGGGACTCTGCTATTTGGGCCCCATTTACTCACGTTCCATAAATTGCCTCTGAATAAGCCAAAGAAGCTATGTTCTCACTTCAAAGGGGAAGCAAGAAAGTTAATCATTCTCTGAGTTTCGTCCTAGGTCCCAAACACCTAATTACACTTAAGAAGAGCCAGATCCCAAACCTGTTCCAGAACAATAGCTTCAAACAAACCTCCCCTGACGCTGGCCTCAATACCCCTACCTTCGGCAATTTCTGGAATCACACTATTTTTGTTCACCTGATATTTGCCGGTGATTGACCCTTCCCTGGATTCCTGGAGGAACATGTACTCTAGACCCTTTTCTAATAAAAACCCCTAGCCCCAAGCCGCGACGAGACTCAGTCTCCACTGCTTTCCGAGTCTCCCAGTCACCCCTGTCTGCTATTCTCTGTCACTTCACGATTCAATAAACTGTTTTTACTTTCTCTGGCTTGCATTTGATTTCTATCCTGTGTGAAGCCAAGGACCCTTTTGGCTGGTCTGGTGGGGAACCCTCCCCTGGGTTCTCAGACTCTGCCTGCCTGCATCAGACCTGGTTTGGATCCTGATTTGAATGAACCAATTGTAAAAAAAATATCATGAGACAATCGGGACTTTCAACATTGACCAAGTATCTACCTAGTGATAGTGAGGAGTTTCTATTTTATCATTTTGTTAGGGGAAAAAAAAAAAGGAGTCCTTATCTTCTAGAGTATTTGTGGGCAAAACCATATGATCTTTGGAATTTGCCTTAGAATAATCCAGTACAGTTGGGGTGGGGGTACAAAGGAAGTAGATTAGCCATAAGTTCCCAGTCACTGTAACTGGAGGGTGTGGGTGCTGAGGGTTCATGATCTATTCTACTTCCATTACTGTTTGGCAATTTCAATAATAAGAGATTAGGTCCATTGCCTCCCTTTCCTTAAGTGTTAGATTCCTCCTCTGGGCTTGTCAAGCCACGTAACACGCTAAACTGCAGTCCCTTGGTTTCCCTGGCCCCTCTTGAAGGCAGGGGCTGCCCCGGGCCCCCTCCGTCTCCTGGGGACGTGGGTCCTGGCATAGAGGCATGTGTGACCTAGTCTTGGTTGGCCTGTGGAGCTCCAGCTAGCAGTAAGTCCCTTTGATGGCCAAGGCCACAGTCATTTCAGCCGGGCCTGTTTGTTCTGCGGGGGTGGGGCACCTGTTTGTTCTGTGGCGGTGGGGCCACGTAAAAGCTCGAGGAAAGTAGATGATGTTTGCCACTCAGTGACTGGGGCTGGGCGAGGTTCTCGGACAATCCAGCTGCTGGCTGGACGGACATGCTCTGAGGAACAGGCAGAGCGAGTGCTGCTTTCCACAGAGTTCAAAGGCCAGGCCGAGGCGTCCCCTTGGGCCCGCCCAACTCACACCCAGACAGGCCAAGGGAGAGAAGCCGGAGGAGGCAGTGCCTCAGATCACTGGGCACACGGGGCGCCAGGCCGGGAAGTTCTGCTCAAGCCCATGGCCACGAGCACCCAGATAGAAAACCTGCAGTGTCGGCCACCGCTCCCGGAGAAGCGCGTGGCTCCCAGGAAGTGAGCCCCAAAGATGAGGCTGCTCAAGCTGCTCCTTTTCCTGGCCCCCTGGGGAGTGGCCCGAGCTGAAGCAGGTAGGCACCCCAGCAATTGCCTTTGTTTTGTACTATGAACTTGGGGATCCTGGAAGCTGCTCCCGCTTGGAGAGAGCTGAAAGTGCTGCTAAAAATAGCAAGGCAGGAAGTTAGGGAAGGAAGGCCCCAGGAGAGAGAGTGAGTGAGTGAGGGATAGGGGTGCTCTTTGAGCCTGAAGATCTTAAGTGGAGGCCAGAGCTGGCCAGGGGAGGGACACTGACTTTGCGGAGATGTGTGGGTACGTGCGAAGAGCCAGCCACCTGGTAGAGGTGGCGGCCGGCAGATTCCCGACTTCATTCAACCAACATTGGTTAAGGGCCTTCTGCATATCACGCACTATCCTAGGAACCGGGAATGTGGCAGAAAAGAAAGGAAACAAAGCCCCAGTCCTAGGGAAGCATTCCTTCAACTAGGGAGAAGCAGACCAAACAACACTTGAACAAGTAAATGCATGATAGTCCAGGAGTTATAAGTGTTGTGGAGAACAATAAAGCAGAAGAAAGGGGTGGGAGTGGGGGTGGGGGTACTTACAGTGTGGCCCGGGAGTGACATTTGAGTAGAGACCTGAGGCAGTGAGGGAGGGAGCTGTATGGACATCCAGGAGAACATTCCAGCAAGAGAGCGTGGAAAGCACACAGGCCCTGCACCTGACACTCAGGGGATACATGTGAGGACAAGCCTGGGTCCAGAGTGGCTGCAGCAGAGCAGGCAAGGTGAATGGGAGAGATGAAGTTGGGGACCATGGGGGTGGGGCTGGGGGGCTGGCGCCAGCTCGCATATAAACATGTAGATGGTGTAAGGACTGAGGGTGGAATGGAACATCATTAGAGGGCTTTAGGCAGAGCCTTAGGGTGAGCTGACTCGTGTTAGGTTTTAAAAAGGGCCCCTGGGCTGTGCGTTGAGAAGAGACCATAGTGGATAAAGGCAGGTTGACCAACTTGTCTCAGTGTGCCTGAGACTTGCCTAATCTGAGCACTTGAAGTTCAGTGACCTGGGCGCACTGGGGTGGTTGGTCACCATGATAAAGGAGAAACAGTCAAACCTGTGGGCAGGCTGTTGTCATCCTCCAGTGAGAGGAGACGGAGGCTCGCCAGGATGGTAGGAGCGGGGCTGGCTGGAGACGGTCTGATTCTGGACAATATTTGCTGGCAGATGTGGGGGTGACAGGAGGACTCCAGGGTGACTCCAGGGTCTTTGCCTTCAGCTGGGAGGACGGATTTGTCATTGGCTGAGGTGCAGGAGGAGGGGACGGTGGTTTGAATAGGGATGTGTCCAGTTGGAGATGCCTATTAGATTTCCATGCAGTGGAAGAGGAGTCAGTGGGCAGGCTGGACCTCTGGTTCTCCTGAGGATCCGAGGTTGCCCTTTCCTGGAGTCCTGGGATGGGACCTGACAGGGGACCCAATACCCTTTCTGTAGCTGCTGGAATAAGGCTGAAAGAGGGAGGGACAGGCTCAGGTCTCTGCTCGTTGCTTGTTCTGTGGGGCTCAGTGCTCCCAGGCTGGAGCCCAAAGGGTTGGTGGCCTCAAGGCGCTCCCCTGGACACTACCCAGGAGCAGCTGGGAGCCCATGGCACAGCCGGGCATCTTGAGGCCGGCAAGGAGGAACCTGGGGGCAGGAGACCAGAGCTAAATGCCCAAGAGGGACTGGGCTCCAAATGCTGTGACCCAAATGTGGAAATATTGCTGGGACGAGCCCTGAGAGTGTGTCGTTCCCTTTGAGGGTGACCTGCCTGGCAGAAGGCTGAGTGGAAGTCCTCCTTCTACCCGGGAGGCAGACCCTAGACCCCTTTGGAAATAATCCCTTTGTCAAGTAGGGATTATTGAGTTCACTGAGCAGTAAAACACCTTACCCAAGGTTACACATGTAGTAAGTGTCTGAGTCGGGACATGAACCCAGGCTGTACAACTTCACCCTGCTTATAAAATAATGCTGTCAAAACAAACAAAGGGACACTGAAGGAAAGAGCCAAGAAGAGCGAACCTTTATTTTTGGGGACTTAACGATAGGCCAGGCTGGGGCTAGTTGCTTGACATCTGCTGTCCTTTCAAAACCCACTTGAAAAATGAAAGAAGAAAAACCTCATTTGGTTTTTATAGTCCCTGTGAAGCGGGTACTATTCCTATTATACCCATTTTGCAGATGAGGCAAGTGAAACTCAGAGGAAGCACAATTGCCCAAGGCCGCACAGCGAGGAAGTGGCACAACCAAGTCTGTTCTCAGCTGCCTTACCCAGTATGTCCTTCGAAGGGTCCTCTTGGGATGGTGGGTTTTATAGGTACTATTTTTTATCTTTTCTCCAAACTTTCTGGAATGTATACGTCTATACTTTAAAAAGAAATTAAATTTTATTTTCTTTTTTTAAATTTAAATTCAATTAATTAACATATTGTGTATTATTAGTTTCAGAAGTAGAGGTCAGTGATTCATCAGGTGCATGTAACACCAGGCGCTCATGACATCATGTGCCCTCCTTCGTGCCCATCCCCCAGTGTCCCCATACCCCCACCCCCCTCCCCTCCAGCCACCCTCAGTTGGTTTCCTATGATTAAGAGTCTCTTATGATTTGTCTCCTTCTCTAATTTCATCTTGATAAAAACAAAATTAAATTTTAAAAGAATTCCACAGCACTTGTAGGTTTTTTCAGACTCCGAGTCTTCCCTGAAATGCAGGAGAAGGTTGAGCCACCCAATCAGAGAGCAGTCATACCTGCTTTGCCCGTGGAAGTGTCTACTTCCACGGTCCTTAGCCAAGAGGCTGGGTGGGGTAGCAGCCTGCTGGCTCCCTCCCCTCCCACATATGCCCCATGCAGCACCAGCTTGTCCTTCAGCTTCTAACTCAGAGAAACGGACAATCCCTGTCCCCAGGGGTTAGCACGGTAGGCAAACATTCCCCTCAAGAATAAGCCTGTGGGGCTGTCGTGAAGAGAGGGCAGTCTACGTCCTTAACACAGGGGGTCAGTAGATGTTGGCTTGAACCAGGGAACCCTCTGTGTTTAGGAGGGCCTCAGCTTATAGAGGAGGTTATTCCTTAGGGTCAAAAGCAAAGGACTAAAATAGCGACCAAGGGGCGCCTGGGTGGCTCAGTTGGTTAAGCGACTGCCTTCGGCTCGGGTCATGATCCTGGAGTCCCAGGATCGAGTCCCGCATCGGGATCCCTGCTCGGCAGGGAGTCTGCTTCTCCCTCTGACCCTCCCCCCTCTCATGTGCTCTCTCTCTCTCTCTCTCTCATTCTCTCTCTCAAATAAACAAAATCTTTAAAAATAAAATAAAATAAAATAGCGACCAAGACCGTCCTGTGGTGTGGGTTACACACAATCATAGAGAAAAGTCAGGAACCACTGAGCGTTAGAACTGGCAGGGCCTTCAGATAAGTTTGCACAGTACTCTCATTTTAGGGTTAGGAAACAGAGAAGAAAAGAAAAGAGAAGAGAAGAAAAGAGAAGAAAGAGAAGAAGAGAAGAAAAAGCGAGGCCCGAGGGGCAGAGGGGCCCAGGGAATAAGCACTCAGGGTGGCTTGTCGGCCACGCGGCCAGATGCTGCAGGTGAGGTCGCTCCTCTCATCCACACATCCACCCCTTTGCCACGGGCACCAGGATCCCCATTTTACAGATGAGGAAACTGAGACTCAGCTGGGGAAATCTCTCATTCAAGTTGCCATTGCCAGTGTGGAGGAGCCCAGATTCAAAACCAGATTTCCCTTAGTCCACGTTCCATGCATGCCCTTTCCAAAACAACCTGCTGCCTTCAGCCAGAAAACCTGGGTCCTACCTTTTAACATCTATGTGACCTTGAGCCTCTATGTCACTCTCTATAAAATAAGATAGGGATAAAGCAGAGGAGAGTTTAAACATGATAGTTAAGCAAGATCCCACACATATGTTGTAATGTGCTGTAAAAGTTTAAAGGACCATTTTTTTTTTTTTTTTTTTAATATTCAAGGTCGGGGCGCCTGGATGGCTCAGTCGGTTAGGCTCAGGTCATGATCCCAGGGTCCTGGGATCGAGCCCCACGTTGGCTCAGCGGGGAGCCTGCTTCTCCCTCTCCTCCCTGTTCTTGCTCTCTGTCACTATCTCTGTCTTTCTCTCTCAAATAAATAAATAAATAAATAAATCTTTTTTAAAAAATAAAGTTTAAAAGTAAGTAAATAAATATCCAAGGTCACACTGCCAGCTAGCAACAAAGTGCATCGTGATCTTTTCTGTTCTGACACGATGCGAATCATAGGTCTGCCACTGACTAGCTCACTTTCCTCATCTGTAAAATGGTACAGTACTAGAATATATGTCATAATTTTGTCATGAGTAGAGTGCATGGGTAGAGGGCTTGGCACAGCATCTGGCATTCAGTAGGTGCTAAATAAATGGCAGGTGTCTTGCTGCCTGCCTTTTCTTGTTTCCAACTATAAGTAGGCTCAGTTTAAGACCTTCTTAGGTTCTAGGAATTATTTTTGCAAGTCTCCCTCCTCCCATCAGGAATCATAAAGGATCTCATATTATATGATTTTAATAAAGTTTTAAATACATCATTGCTTTTAAAATAAATTATTGATTTTGATGGTATTGTTTTTTCCCTGAACTTCGGAGCCAGTGCATTTTCTCCAGCCCCCAAACATGTCCGTGGGTCTTACAAAGATACAAGGCTCTGGGCCTTATATTTGTTGTCCCCCTAGTGGACAAGGGGGTCTGGTGACCCGTTTGGTGATGGAGGAGGAAGACCAGGAGTGTTTTACCTGCCCAGGGATAGGGAGCAGAACTGAGCTCTCAAAATTTAAACTGGAAGGTGGACTGTGCCCACCAAACCTCCAGGAGGGGACAGGATCTGTCTTCACATTGTTCTCAAATCCCGGCCCCCGGATCTGCACTTTATCTGCAGAGGACAGCAGCTGAGGGAATGCTGGGGTGACAGGGGAAGGTTGCAGCCACTCCCCCCTCATCCCTTCTCCCTCCATGGGGAAAGGGGGGCTTGCAGGACCCCAAGGATCAAATTCAGCCTACCTGCTGCTTTGCAATGCTGAGGGCCTTGGCATTATCTCCTGTTATCTCAATGAACCCTCACATCGACCCGAAGATGTAGGGGGCGCTGTTGTCCCCCTTTTACATCTGAGTAAACTGAGGCACAGAATTGCTCACGTTCCCACAGCTAGTGGGCAGTGGAGCTGGAATTTCAACCCAGGTCTGTGCTCTCAACTACTCACTGTAATTGATACCAAATTTATTCATATTCTCAATAATAGTGAATGATAATGACAGCTAAGATTGGTACACCTTTTCTTAAAACTGAAGGAACACATGAATACTTTCTTTTTTTTTTCAATTTTTTTTTAATGTTTTATTTATTTATTCATGAGAGTCAGAGAGAGAGAGAGGCAGAGGCAGAGGGAGAAGCAGGCTCCCCGCCCAGCAGGGAGCCCGATGCGGGACTCGATCCCAGGACCCTGGGATCATGACCCGAGCCGAAGGCAGACGCTTAACCATCTGAGCCACCCAGGTGCCCACACATGAATACTTTCTTACTGTAAAAGATTCAAGCAGCCTGAATATATAAAGACTCTTAATTTTTTTTTTAAGATTTTATTTATTTATTTGACAGAGAGAGACACAGCGAGAGACGGAACACAAGCAGGGGGAGTGGGAGAGGGAGAAGCAGGCTTCCTGCGGAGCAGAGAGCCTGAGCGGGGCTCGATCCCAGGACCCTGGGATCATGACCTGAGCTGAAGGCAGATGCTTAATGACTGAGCCACCCAGGCGCCCCAACACTCTTAATTTTAATGAGACCCCTGTGCACAGGAAGATCTGAGGAAGTCTGGTCTGAGAGTAAAGTGTTGAACTGCCCCATTCCCCACACCTTCCCAGTGTCTCCTGCCCCAGGGGCAGCTGCCAGGGACAGTGGTGTATTGGGATTCTTCTCTACAGCCCTTTCTCTTCACTGTCTTATTTGCTGCTCTCAGACAGCCGGCCAGATGTCAAACACCCATAGGCTCCGCAAGGCTAACGGGCTTGCCAGAATCCTCAGCCAACACATGAGAGAGAGCCTGGACTAGAAGCCAGATAACCCACCACTCTCAGGGTCCTTATAGTCACCCCCTCCTCCATGACATTTTAGAGCTTAATTCCTCACAGTCTGTGACTAATTCCATAGAAGCCTGTGGCTTCCACTGTTTTATGGGCAACATAGGTGTTTTATAAAAGCCATCTTCTGGAGGCTCTGAGTCAACATTGTGTCTCAGCTTTGGAGCCCGAGAGGGCTGGGTTTGAACCTCAGTTTCCGCATCTGTGAAATGGGCACAAGAATCCCACCTCACAGAATGGCTGCAAGGATGGAATGAGATGAGAGTGTATAGGGCACCTCGCTAACATTCTTTGAGGGCTTACTAGTCCCACCATCCTCCCCACAGCCTTGCTCATTCATTGAATATATATTTGGGCATCTTCCACATCCCAGGCACTGTTCTAGGTGGTGAGGACGCAGAGATGAACAAGATAGGCTGCACGCTTTCAGGGAACTGACACTGTAGACAGGGAAGATGGATGAGAAGCAAGTCAACAGGATCATTTCATCACGTGAGAGTGCTCTAAAGAAAATAAAACTGGGGGAGGTGATAGCTAGTGACCAGATTGGGAGGGTGGAACTTGAGAAAACGTCGTCAAGGAAGCCTTCTCTGAGGTGGTGACCTTTGGGCTGAGACTTGAATGAGGAGGAGAAAGCAGCCATTTGATCAATGACCTGGGGAAGATTGGGGAAGGCAGCCGAGGAACCAGGAAAGAGCCCGTGCAAGGCAAATGAGTGGGGTGGGTTGGTCTGTGTGAGGTCTGTGGAATCTACCTCCACAGTGAAGACACCAGAGCCCAAGGAAGTGGAGCCTCCTGCTCTCTGCACCATTCCTTCCACTACCCTGGCCTCTCCTGGAGTCAGGTCGCTGGGGCGTGCGCGTGCGCGCGCGCGCGCGCGCGCGCACACACACACACACGTCCCTAGGAATCCAGGGGAGGCTGGAAGGAGTTTCAGTTCTATACTCTGACTAGACCGGAGCTCGTGGGAAGAGAGAAACTGACAGCTGACATGTGAGCGTCGGCAGACAAGGAGTTTCTGGAGTGAAGCAATGTTCCCGGAGTTCTTAGAAGGCTGACATCAAAGGGACAGAACTGCTCCCTCTTTATGGTTAGTTGAGGAAGAGCCTGCTTGAGGCAGGGGAATGGTCTCTCCGTGGCCTTCAGAGGAAGCCAGGGGACCGCACTCCAGAGAGAAGGGCTAAGGCAGGGCCTCTCACCCTATCTGACCTGGCCAGCCCGGCCTCAGGCTTGGAAGCAGGTGCTACCCCCTTCCAGTCTCCGGGCAGGGGCTCAGGAGAGCCCACCTACTCTGCCCACGTACTAGTTGAAATGGGGCAATTCGTTTCTTTGGCTTGGGATTTTGTCTCTGTAGGAGTAATTTCACATATATTGATCACAGTTTGTATGACAAGTTTGAATTTCCCCAATTATAAAAGGCTCTCAATTTGGGTAAAAGAGAAACATGCAGGTATAGACTGTCTACAAAAAGACATATCAAAAATAAAAAGGTAACAGTTCGGGGCACCTGGCTGGCTCAGTCTGTAGAACATCTGACTCTTGATCACAGGGTCATGAGTTCAAACCTTACATTGGGCATGGAGTTCACTTAAAAAAAAGAAAAAAGAATAAAGGGCACTGGTTTTACCCCCTTAGCGATCACACCTTCCTGGGAGAAAATAGAGAGCCACAGGACCTTAACCATTTACCGTGTGATCTCAGGCATGTTGACCTCTTAGCCTTAGTTTCCTTATCTGCAAAATGGGGATAATGATCAATACAGTCGACCCTTGAATGACACAGGTGTGAACTACGAAGGTCCACTGGTACACAGATTTTTTGATACGGTACGGTAATGTATTTTCTCTTCCTTATGATTTTTCTTTTTTTAAAGATTTTGTTTATTTATTGGGGGGAGATATCACAAGCAGAGGGGGAGGGTGGGAGAGGGAGAAGCAGACGCCCCACTGAGCAGGGAGCCCGACTTGGGACTCCATCCCAGGACGCTGGGATCATGACCTGAGCCGAAGGCAGACACTTAACCGGCTGAGCCACTCAGGCGCCCCCTTATGATTTTAATTTATCTTTTTTTTCTAAAAGATTTTATTTATTTATTTGACAGAGAGAGAGACAGCGAGAGAGGGAACACAAGCGGGGGAGTGGGAGGGGGCGAAGCAGGCTTCCCGCGGAGCAGAGAGTCTGATGCATCATGACCTGAGCCGAAGGCAGACGCTTAATGACTGAGCCACCCAGGCGCCCCACCCCCATGATTTTTCTTAAATAACGTTTTTTCTCTAGCTTACTTTATTGTACAAACACAGCAAATACATATAATATACAACATATGTGTTAACCAACTGTTTATGTTATCAGTAAAGGATTCTGGTCAACAGTAGGCCATTAGTAGTTAAGTTTTGGGGGAGTCATAAGTTATGCACAGATTTTTGACTGTGTGGGTGTTGGTGCCCCTAACCTGCATTGTCCGAGGGTCAACTGCACCTCCAGGGCTGTGGTGACTGTGTAATGACCTTGGGAGGGATCATGACTTACTTAATCAGTCATTTGCACCCTAGTGTAAACAAGCTTCTGATCCTTTCCTGGGACCAGGTTTAGACAAGGAGAGGTGAGGAGAAGTCTTGGAGAGAGGCTCAGGGGCTGGACTTTACCTTCGGACCTCTCCTAGAGCCACAAGAAATGTCCTGTGGCTTGGGTGGTGCCATGGCTATCCACCCTGAAAGCAGCCCTGGGAAGCCGGGGGCTTCCAGGCCAGGGCCGGGTTTCCTGGGCTGGGAGCAGGGCTGGGGGGATTGACTGTTGGCACTGAGTGACACCGGAAATGGAGGAGGAAGTGATGGAGGGTGAGGAGATCCCAGGCCTCACCCTTGTCTTAGCCAAAAACACAGGATTTAGGGCAGAGGCCAAATCTGTTCAATAAGCATCATTGAAACTACTTATCCGAGGCCCTGTGCTGGGTACGGATGACAAATCCACCCCATGTGGCCTGTTTCTTTGTTGGGATTCCTTTCTCTCGATCACACCGAGACTTTTTTTTTTTTTAAAGATTTTATTTTTAAGTAATCTTTACACCCAACATGGGGCTTGAACTCACAACCCCGAGATCAAGAGTCACATGCTCCTCAGACTGAGCCAGCCAGGTGCCCCTCATGCCAAAAGAGATTTTTGACATTTCGGCCAGCCTTGGTTGGAAGCTGAGACCAGGTTTCAGTGGACCGATTCGGCAAACAGGACAGCTCCCAGCTGCATCCAGAATCACCAACCACTACACACATGCGAGTTTCAGCCCAATCTGTAGTTGGGTCCCTCCTTTTCTTGAACTCCATCTTCACACATACTGTGCAGGGTTTTGTTGGTATTAATGTACAAGATCTTACAGTGCAATTCGTGTTGTAAGGCTTCTCCCAGGTCAGATTTTTTATGTATTTCCCTGGAGCCTGAGAAGATCTGGCTCTAGTTCTGGGCTCAGCGAGGTAAAGCAACTCACCCAAGGTCACACAGCTTATAGGTGGCTCCAGAGCCTGAGTGCTTCACCATGGCACTCCTCAAACTTTGCTTTCAAACAAGCACTCTGCTTAGAACGCCCAAAGGATTCTTTGAGGGTCATGAGGCCCACCCCCTCCCCCACCCCTGCTGCTGGGTCCCCTGAGGTGGGGAAATGGAGAGGGTCAAGGGTCACAGGTCAGGGACAGAGCCAAGCTTTTTCTCTGCTCCTCTCAGTGCCTCCCTGGGCAAAGTCAGACCTGTGGCTCTTTCTCTCCGAACCCTGGCTTCTGAGGAAACTGTTTTACCTTTGCAGCCTGCTCTCTCCCAGCCGGGACTCCCCCCGGGCTTCCACCCCATCCAGGCTCAGGGAGGTACCAGCATCAAAGAGGGTCTCCTTTCCCCTGCAGGGAAGTTCTGGCACATCTCTGACCTGCACCTGGACCCTGACTACAAGGTCTCCGAAGACCCACTCCAGGTGTGCCCATCAGCTGGCTCCCAGCCGGTGCCCAGCGCAGGCCCCTGGGGCGACTACCTCTGCGACTCTCCCTGGGTCCTCATCAATTCCTCCATCTACGCCATGAAGGTGATCGAGCCGGAGCCAGACTTCATCCTCTGGACGGGGTGAGAGCAGTCACAAAAGCCACCCTTCACCGGGCCGCTGCTGGGTGCCACCTGCAGACCTGGCACCCTCCCCACGCCAGCTCCCTTAGTCCTCATACCGGCCTTGATTCAGAGAGGATGGATCCGGAGCTCAAGGGACATAGCCTGCCCAAGAAACTGTGGGCCTGGCTGATCCCACGGTCCGTGCCCTTGACTGTGTCTCCTAGCCTTAGCAGAACGAAGCTCTCTCTGAGGCTGGGGACACAGTCATGGCACATCTGGGTATGTGGAGAACTCCTGGATTTTATTATTTTTTTAAAGATTTATTTATATATTTATTTGAGAGAGAGAGAGGGAGGGAGAGCAGGAGGAGGGGCAGAGGCAGAGGGAGAACCCCCAGCAGACTCCCCACTGAGTGCAGAGCCTGACAAGGGGCTCGATCCCATAACCCTGAGATCATGACCTGAACTGAAGTCAAGAGTCAGAAGCTTAACAGACTGTGCCACCCAGATGCCCCGAGAACTCCCAGATTTTAAGTCAGGGGGATGAACACTGGGGCCACTCCCACCAGGGTTTAGTGATCCACATGCGGGGAGGGATGAAGGTAGGGGGGCTGAAAGTGGTCCTGGCTGCCCTGGCCCCGGGGGTTCTCATTGGTCACAGCACCACTCTGTCTGAGGATAGCTTGTGGGGTGGGTGATTTCTACTCAGCCAGACTCCGTTTCTGCTTCTCATCCAAGGATACTGCTGCGAGTCCTCCAGCTTGCCTCAGAACGGGCTGTCCTTGCCCTTCGTGGTCCACCCTTCACTCACTGGCTCCTTTCTCCCTCCCTTGCCGGGGCAGCCTGTCTTATGCTCAGCCCTGGGTAGATGCTGGGGAACCGAGCTGACACAAACCCAGACCGGCCTTCAAGGAGCTCCCCGTCTTGTGGGCGACACAGACAAGCCCACTGACCACTGTATCCCAGCCGGGAGAGAGGGTCACTGGGGGATGTGGGAGCTTTCCAGGGCACCTGACTCCATCTCACAGGAAGTGGTAATCGGGGGGCTGGTGAGGAAGGCTGGCTGGTGCGCTGACTTCCTGCTCCCTCTTCCAGCCTCAATGGACACTTGTACAGGGCAGGATCAGGCCCGTGATGCCCCCCAGCTGGCCCTCAGTGTGGCGTGGGAGTGACCGGGAATGACCCTCAGATGGACCCTGTGGTTGGCAGGAATCAGAGATGTGACAGTGTCTCACAGCAGCTCAGGAAACCGTCTCAGAAGAGAGTGAGCTTTAGGCTCTGATCCTGAACTCTTGCTCCCAAGGGGGATCGTGTTGGGGGAGCCTCTGGATTTTCTAAGGAGGAACATTCGGAAAGACGGGATCCCTCTGGGAAAGGCGACTGCTTTGGGAAATTCAGGATCCTTTAACAGAAACATGATGTTTCTGGGAAATCTCTGGGACTTTGCAGAGATAGAGGACATTGAATGAGATGACCTCTGGGACCTTTTATAATTCAATTTCTAAAAAGTGACTTTTCAGGGCGAGTTGCAATCCCTTAGGGGTAACCTGTAGAAACTGGAAGCACTTTCTAAAAGAAAGAATTAGATCCTCCAAACTAGAAAAAAAGGGGGCGGGGATTTTGTTTTGAGATCAACAGTCAGATGTTTAACTGTCTGAGCCATCCATGCGCCCCTTTTCTAAGTTGGATCCAGCCGAACAAGGGACTCAACGGTCCTAGGGCTGGTCCAGGATCTGCCGTACAGTAGAGATGAACTGTAAACGCTGATGCCAGCTCCCAACTCCTTAGGACCCTTGGGGAACGGAGAGGACTCAGATGGTTTTTCCCACTCCAAACTCCCTGGGGACTTGCAGAAGGGACTCGAACCCCCAAGCTTCCCTCTTTACATAATAATACTAATACAGCCTAGCAGCTACTATTCTGCCTTTTATTTAATTTAATTTTAAATTTACTTTTTAAAAGAGAAAGGAGAAGAATTTTATTGGAGCTCAAGTTAGGACAGCTGCCCAGGAAATATGCTCTTTACAAGGAAGAGAGTGGTCCCACTCGTCTACATTTTATATATATAATTTTCCCCGCTTTATTAAAATCTCACAAATACTGTAGGAGTAGGTACCAGTCTTATCCCTACTTTACGGATGAGATAGTGGAGGCTCAGAGAGGTTAAGCAGCCAGCCCGGGGACCCACAGCAGGTGCCCGGCAGGGCCCAGGTTTGAACTCTGTCCTGCGTGACTCCCGCCTCCAGCCTGGCCCTTCCCTCGCAGGGGCTGCCGAGGGCCAGCTCCACGGCCTGTTTCCTCATAGCTGAGCTGTCCCTTCCTTTTCTCGGGGCCCTTCCTGAGCTGCCCCCACGGAACTGGCTCGGTGGTGTTTTGCAGTGATGACACACCTCACGTGCCCAACGAGAGACTGGGAGAAGCAGCGGTGCTGGGAATCGTGGAGCGCCTGACTGGGCTCATCAGAGAGGTCTTTCCAGGTAAGCCCCCTGCCGTCGGGGGTCTCCCCCACCCCCTCCGCCCCGCAGCATTGCCTGAAGCCCAGGCGGAGTCTGGCCCGGTGGGGGTGGCTCAGTAACAGCAGCAAGATATGGAGGAACAACCTTCCACCACGGACGACGCCGGCTGCTGGCCAGGTCTCACAGCGACCGATCGAGGAACGCGAGCCATCGCTGGCCTGTGTTTCCACGCAGAATCCGGTGGACGGAGACGCCTGACATTTCACTGCTTTCTGCCCGAGCCTGTTTTACAGCGACTCACAGCTCCTTCTCGGGGCACCTGCAGTTATTTATAGGCATCGTTCCCAGCAGGTGTCACGGGGACTTGCACGTAGCCCTATGTCCCGCTGTGGCCCCAGAGCTGCCATCCACCGCCCTTAAACCATCTTGGCTGCCGGGGCCTCTGAGAGATGCTGATTTCCAGCCCAGGTGCTATTCTCGGTGCTTCCAAGGCCTTCAGAGCCCAGGAGAGCAGGCAGAGCCTGTCAGTGGTTGTGGCAGTAGTCCCGTGGCACGTGACAGGGAGAATGGGATCTGCATGCCCCATCTAGCGCCCCTGAAAATGTCTTTAGGCAGGCTGTGCCAAACACAAGGTGCCAGGGACTGAATCAGGCCCTCAGGCTGTCAGCTGGGGACCTGTCAGAGCAGCCCGCTAGCCCCCACCCCCACGTCCTTCGGGTTCTGGAACGGGTGTATCCTCTAAAGGTCTTAGACAAGGATCGGCAGGCCCCAGATATGGACTGATGATAATAAAAATAAATATTAGCACAGTAGTAACTGCACGTATCTCTGTACTGAGTGCTAAGTGTCAGGCGCTGCTCTAAGAGTCTAATAGGCTGTAGCTCATTCACTGTTGTGACGTTCCTGGAGAGAAGTGCTATTACTCTCTCCATTTCCTGGTGAGAAATGTGAGCCCTGGAGTCAAGCAAACTGGTCAAGGTCATGTGGCAAGGGCAGGGACACAAATCCTGGTTTGAGCACCACTGTGACCCACCACCCCCGCCACCACTCCAGGAGGGGCGCTCAGCTGCTGTCACCATCCCACATCTGACCTCGAGGCAACCTCCGTTCCCACCTCCTTCCCTCAACGTGAATCATTTTATGCACTGTTGTCTGGATGTGTAGATAAGGAATCGATGGCTCAAAGCTAGCCAGTTCCTAGGGAGGGATTCAAACTCAGATCTGACTCTGAGCACTCTTCTCTGCTCCGCCGGGGCTTCTGGAATAAAAGTGAAATAATGGACAAGAAAATGCTTTAAAGGGTGCCTGGGTGGCTCAGTTGGTTAAGCATCTGCCTTCGGCTCAGGTCATGATCCCAGGGTCCTGGGATCGAGCCCCGCATCGGGCTCCCTGCTCAGCGGGGAGTCTGCTTCTCTCTCTCCCTCTCCCTCTGCTTGCCGCTCTGCCTACTTGTGCTCTTTCTCTCTCTGTCAAATAAATAAATAAAATATTAAAAAAAAAGAAAATACTTTACAACTATGAGTTCACATACAAATGTAAATTAGAAGATCCTCTCGTTTATAACACACTTGCACATTTATTGAATTTCCTAATAATCCAAGGTGCCATCGACTGTTAGATGCATTATTATCTTATGTATTGCTAAGGAAAAAAATGCTGTTAGAGTATTTAACAGGTGCTGTCTCGTGGCCTCAATGAGAAGTCACAGCCCACCTGTAGAGATGTTAAAATAAGAATACATTAGAAGAACTGAAAGGAGACATTATCTTATTTGAGAATTATAGCAACACAGGTCAAGCAGAACACTCTCCATTTTATAGATAAACAAGCCGAAACACGGAGAAGTCAGGCAAATTGCTGGAGAGGAGGAAGGGACCGAAGCTCGAGATTTTGGGTCCATAACATGCGTCATGTGTTCTCCCTGCCACGTGCCACCTGCGTCACTGTGAACCCTGGCCCAATTTCTCCAGCATGGCTGAGCGGTGAACGCAGGTGAACACAGAGCCTGCTCCCAGCTCAGGCTCTGCCAGTTTTCCGGCTGGGCCATGCCCTGGAGACTCCGTTTCCTGTCTGCACAAAATGAGGAAAATCATGGTGCCTGACCAGAAGGTTGTGGTGAGGATTAAGTAATCCACTCACTCATCTAGTCAACAAATATTTACTGAGTATCTACTAGGAGTGAGATACCATTCTAGGAGGAGGGAACTTGGCCGTGGACTAGACGCCAGGTCGTGCCCACATGGAGTTTATGCTCGTAAGGGGCTTCTCACAGTGCCCGGCACAAAGAAGCAGCAAAAAAGGGGAAAGATTCCCTCCCTTCTCATCTGTCCTTGGAATTCCAGGGGTTTGTGTTTTTTCTAAATGGAGCCTTTTTTTTTTTTTAAAGATTTATTTATTTTAGGGGGGGAGGGGCAGAGGGAGAGGGAGAGAATCTCAAGCAGACCCCCCGCTGAGCGCGACCCCAAGATCATGACTTGAGCGGAATCAAGGGTCAGACTCTTAACCGACTGAGCCACCCAGGCGCCCCTCTAAAAGGATTCTTAATGGCTGCCGGCATTTATATTAAAGAGGTGAGATTTTTCCGGGCAGTGACAGAGGTGGCTTCTGGGTTGGCAAACAGTTCCCAATGGGATTCCGACCTTCTCCTTCTGCGGAGTTTTCAGGCCTCCCAGATCTTGTGGGCTCTCCAGGGCAAAAAGTTGGTGAAAACATCTTCCCCATTGGGAATTAGAGGTGCCCGCCTCCCTCACTGGTTCAAGGTCACTCACTCCCTGGGGAATGCCAAGCTCCTGTAAGGGCAAAACCCTACTCTGAGCTCAGAGGAATTTTTGTTTCTCATCAAACATTTATTGAGCAACTACTACTTGTCAGACATAGACATAAAGGAAATGCATCTGATGGGCTCCCTCCCACTGAGGGGTGATTCACAAGCCACTTCCTTCTCTGACCCCCACCCCCACCCTGACCCCCACTTCCACAGCAAGAGGCTCTTCCCTTTTTTTTTTAAGATTTTATTTATTTATTTGAGAGAGAGAATGAGAGAGAGAGAGCACATGAGAGGGGATAGGGTCAGAGGGAGAAGCAGACTCCCTGCTGAGCAGGGAGCCCGACGCCCGACTCGATCCCGGGACTCCAGGATCATGACCTGAGCTGAAGGCAGTCGCCTAAACAACTGAGCCACCCAGGTGCCTGACGCTCTTCGCTTTTTTGTGACAATCCTCCCACCTCTAATTACTCAATACCTGTCAACCCTACTGCACTTCGAGGCCCCCGGGCCTGGGACTGGGTGCCTGGTTCCGGGGTCTATGCGTTGGCCCACACAAGGTGTTAATAAACACCTCCTGAATCACAGAATGCGTGAAACTCCTAAGGCTCCCAGGGTGAACCAGACCCCTTCCCCTACTGTAACTGGACCCGGAATGGACAAGAACGTGAAGCACTGCATTACCAAGGGACTCAGTAGGGATGGGAAGATTATGTAGATCTTCCAGCTTTCTTCTTCCTGTCCTCTTATGCTTCCTTCCCACCAGGAAACTCTCTGCTGGGAATGGGGTTAGGAACTGGGATCAGAGAACTCACTACTCTTCCTTCCCAGGTCTGAGCAATGTGCCGCCAGAATCTACTACTGAATGTTGTTTTCTGTTTATCTCTGTATTTCGCTCATCTGTGCTACGGCCCTCCGCCATGGGCTCCGACGGCCAGGGGCGGCCTGAAAAGTACCAACTCCACTGAGCACTGTCACATAAATATATTTATATGTTTCTTTTTCATCCCAGATACCAAAGTCTACGCTGCTTTGGGAAATCATGACTTTCACCCCAAAAACCAGTTCCCGGCAGGGAGCAACAACATCTATGATCGGGTAGCAGAACTGTGGAGACCCTGGCTCAGTAATGAATCCATCGCTCTCTTCAAAGAAGGTACTAGCACCATTTGCAAGTATAAGTACTTCCTTGTCTGCCAAGGTCTGATCGAATTTTGTCCCCACCGCGACCCCAGGAGATGGTACTGATTTTATCCCCATTTTACAGATAAGGAGACAGAGGCTTGAAGATGTCGAGTCCCTTGGCCAAGATCAGCCAGCTTAGAGGTGGCCACTTGAGAGCAGAATCCAGGGCTGACTGCACTGCCCATGCTCTCAACGGCTCTCACGAGGATCCTAAGTGACCATTTCCTGAGTATTTAGTGGGTGCCAGGCACTACTCTCAGCACATGCCAAGACCCCTCATGGAAACAAGGAAGGGGCAGTGACCTCTGGTTCAGGCAGGGTTTCCCACCCTTGGCACTACTGACATCTTGGGCCAGATAATTCATCGTCGGGGCTGCCCAATGCATTGTAAGATGTTCAGTAGCATCCACGGATGCTGGGTACGAGGAACACCCTCCATCGCCATAACCCGAAATGTCTCCAGACGCTGCCAAACATTCCCTGGGGGACAAAATCAGCAGCTGAGAACCACTGATCCAGAGACACGGCCAGTCCAAGGTGACCCTGGCTACTCTCTTCCCTGTCCTCAGTCCCAGCGGGTCAAACCCAACCAGAAACCGTTGATTTAGTCCACAGAGATCAGCTTCTGGAACAGAGGGTTGAGTGAACAGGGTTGACAGTGGATCTGGAGGGGCAGACGCATCTTACTGTTCTTCACATTATAGAAAGGGAGAAACGGAAGCACAGAGCACCGAAGGCTAACTGTTCCCACGCTGCACAGCTAATAAGTGCTGGAGCCAGGACTTGAGCTGAGGCAGCGGGCCTCCGGAGCCTCTGCTCTTCTCACCACGCCCCTCCCACGGGAAAGATGGGAAGGGAGGATGCGAGGGCAGAAGATGGGAGTGAGATGCAGGGCCACGGAGGCGTGCTCGTCCGACGCAGGGATCCTTCAGATTCTCCCTGGCTGTGACACCTTAGGTGCCTTCTATTCTGAGAAGTTGCCGGGACTGAGTGGGGCTGGGCGAATCGTGGTCCTCAACACCAATCTGTACTACAGCAGCAATGAGCAGACGGCTGGCATGGCGGACCCTGGCCAGCAGTTCCGGTGGCTGGAAGATGTGCTGACCCGGGCAGCCCAAGCTAAGGAGATGGTAAGGGCTCCCAGCTCCACCTGCTGTCTTCTCTGGGGTCACTTCCTGAACAAGTCTCCCACCTCTGCACAAACTCAACCACTCACTCGAGGGGCCCGTAGTGATATTACTGAGGGTCCTTCATCAGCCTGGCGCCTGGGGGGGCGGGCTTTTCCCATCCTCAGGGCAGCCTGGGAAAAAGAGAAGGGTACTCCAGGTGGCAGGCTTAGCCCGCGCGAAGGCGCAGAGGTGGGAAACCTGGTAAAATCATCGCTGGGGCCTTAGAGTGCTGGCATCTGCCTGGGGGCAGGCTTTGGGGGGGACCTTGGAGCCTGTCTGCTTGCCCCTGGCGAGAGGGGCAGGTGTTGCGAGGTGGAAGTGAGGGGTCGGGGGGGGCACCCCTGAGCCCCTCCTGGGCACCCTTTCCTTGCAGGTGTACATTATTGGCCACGTGCCCCCAGGCTTCTTCGAGAAGACGCGGAACAAAGCGTGGTTCCGGGAGGGCTTCAATGAGGAGTACCTGAAGGTGGTCCGGAAGCACCATCGAGTCATTGCAGGGCAGTTCTTCGGGCACCACCACACCGACAGCTTCCGGATGTTCTACAATGATGCAGGTACTCGCCGCGGAGGACAGCTGCCGGCCCACCCCCCTCCTCCTCTTGCCAGCCTCCCTCTCAGTCCCACGGTCTCTCTCCTGAAAGGTACTCCCATCAGTGTCATGTTCCTTACCCCTGGAGTCACCCCATGGAAAACCACCTTACCTGGAGTGGTCAACGGGGCCAACAATCCAGGAATCCGGGTATTTGAATATGACCGAGCCTCACTGAGCCTGCAGGTCAGGAGCCCTGGGTCTGCTGGGGCCCGAGGGGGAGGATGGGGAGGGACCTGAATGTATCACCGCCTTGCCTAACTCCTTCCAGCTAAGCCACCCTCTTCTAGAGCTCAGGTTCCCTTGAGCCACTCCAAATCTGCAACCAAGTCAGGTCAATTCTTTGTCCCCAAATCTCCGTTCACCCTAGATCACAGCCTCCTACCTGGCGTCCCTACCTCTAGCCCTGCCCTGCTGTAGCTCATCTACTACATACTACAGAAGGCACTAATCTTTTTAAAGCACTTGTCTCTCTCCTGCTCAAAAACCTTCAATGGCTCCCCAGTGCCCACAAGATAAACTGGATCTCTTTGGCCTGGTGTTCAAGGCCTCCTGCAGTGTGACCTCATGCCCATTGCCCACCTCACCTAGTCGTGCCTACACCGACTAGGCCTCAGCCAAAGCAGGCCCCTAACTCATCGAGCAACCCCTCATTTCCTGGGATGGGCTTGTGATTGTTGAAATGGCAAAGAAATAGTATTCCTTAATTTATTCAACAAAATGTACTAAGCATCTACCATGAGCCGGGCCCTGTGTTGAGCTCAGGAGTTACGTAAGTGAACAGTGACAAAGTCACTGCTCTCCTGGAGCTGACGTTCTTACAGGAGACACACAATAAATAATAAGGAACGCTAAGTATGGTATGGAGAGAAGCGCTAAGGACAAAGCAGAGTGAGGGGGCAGGTGTGCCCGTTGTCGGGTGTGTGTGCACGCGCAAGTGCATGCTGTGAGGTGGGTGGGACGGAAGTGTCACTGATAGGGTGACATGTGAATTCTGAGGAAACTGAAGGAGGGAGCCACTCGGGCATCCGGGGAAGGCGGAGGACAGAGCAAGTCAGATGCCCTGGGTGGGACTGCGCTTGGCGTGTCAGGCAAGAGCGAGGAGGTCGTGGCCGCAGAGGAAGGCACAAGGGGAGGGTGGGAGGGACGAGGTCAGATCCCGTCAGCCGTGATTAGGACTCTGGATCTGGAGGGTTTGGGGCAGAATTAAATATTCTGACTTACAATATTACAAAGTCACCCCGCCGGCTATGCAGAGGACAGGCTGTAGGGGGCAAGGGCAGAAATGGGGGGTGGGGGGAGGGTGAGTTAGGAGGGGACCACGATAACCACCGAGAGGTGATGGTGGCATGGGCCAGGGGGTGGCAGTGGGGCGGCGAGACGCCCCAGATCCTGCATGTCTGCTGAAGGCAGAGAAGGCAGGATTTGCTGGTGGGCTGGATGAGGGTGTGAGAGAAAGAGAGGAGCCAAGCTTTGGCCTCAGCGCCTGGAGGGGTGAAGCTGCCCTTTACTGAACCGGGATCACTGAGGGACGAGCAGGTTTCAGAGGGAAGATCAGAAGTCTGGTTTGGGGCCTGTTAACTTGGCGAGGTCTAAGTGGTGTCCCAGTGACAATGCCCAGGACGAGGCAGCTGGGTATCAGGTTGGAGGCCCAGGAAGAGGAGGGTATAGAGGTTTAATCGGGTGACTGAGAGAGGACACTCAAAGCCAGGGACTGTATGGGATGACCTAGGTCCTTGACTCTAGAGTAAGTGTACACAGAGAAGAGGTCTGAGGTCTTTCGAGAGTGTGGCCTATTGTCCACATGGGCACTCAGAGGGCCTTAGCAGAGGAGTCACCGGCTGGTTCCCCCCCCCCCCCCCCCCCCCAACGTGCCTTCTCAGGAAAGG